GATCTGATTGTTTTAATTGGGGTTTTTATTGTCAGTTGAATGTTTAGGAGGCTGTGTTTTATTTAACATTTCGTATTGTTAAACTGTCCCGAGACTTCAACAAGGGACAGTCTGGAAAAGTTTTAAATAAGAAAGTTGTGTGATCTTTCCCAAACAGTGGATTTTTATGCGTTTCTTCCATATTTTCATGGTTCTGCAAACGTAACCCTTTATCTTCACTCCCCAACCCAAATTATATTTCTTGCAGTTGCTGCTTCATTCCATACTAGCTAAATTCAGACACAGAAAGATGGATTAACATCTTTGGAGTGGTTTTATTTCCCAGAAGCAGCAACTGATTTCAATCAGGTCACTTCCATGGGGATGTAATATGGGGAAAACCCCCCAAAAAACAGATATTTCTTGCATGTATAGTTATATGCATGTGTTCTTTTTTTTTTTTTGGCTGGGGAGGATTTTAAGTCTAACAACTGCTGGAGCTCCTAGTCCTCTAGGACAAATCCATTTCTGGAAGGGCAAACAGATGAAACTCCTAGGTGTTTTGAGGGATTGAATGTCTCCGTTTTTACTTCTCATTTGGATTCAACCCAAATTTGCTAGATCTGCTTTGCAGAAATGAAAGATAGCCTGGGGCTCATACTCCCATCGATGCCCTTCGGTTGTTTAATAGGATCCTTTGGCCTTGCTGGTTTTTTGGTTATAGGCTGGGTCTTTTGGCAGGCAAAAGCATTTTAATGAATTTCCTTTGCCGGTATTAGTGCCAAGCTTCTCTGCAATTTGTGCCCCATCCTACCTAGGATAAGTTTTTCCTAGGATATGTCACTGTATGGTTTTCAACACCAGGTCAAGACCTTTTTATTTAATCAATATTCTAATATGCTTTAATGGAAATTGGATTTTATTGTTTGTATTTTATTAGCCAGCATGGAATAGTCAATTTATCTATTTTATTCTGATTTATGTTGTAAGCCGTCCAGAGACGCAAATAATGGACAGCATACCAATTTTATAAATAATAAAATAAATAGTGGAGGGGGCATTTGAAAGAACAGCATTTGCAGGCATGCTTGGAAATGGATGTATTTGCTCCTCTGACCTTGGTTTGGCCCAGAAGGTCCCAGTTTCCGTGACGACCCTCTAGAAATAACTCACTTAGCTTAAAGAGCCAGATTGAGGTTCCGACTAGAAGCCTCTCTCTGTTGGTCTCCGAAACACCGTTCAGGTGCGCAGAAGTAATGAGGCTTTTCTTGCATGGGGGGCGGGGCGGGCACAGGGTCTAATGCAACCGTTGAGTGTAATGGAGGACTATAAAATCTAAGGAGAACGTTGGATGAGGATAATGTCAGTGGTATGGAAAACAAAGTCTAGGGTGGAAGGTTGAAAGAAGTTGGGTATGCTAAGCCCAGAGAAGATTGAGAAATGTCAAAAGAACTCATTACATTCCAGAAGGAGTTCCACAAGGAGGAGAGAAGGTTTGTTCTCTGTTGCCCTGGAGTTAGGTCCAGATCTAAAGGGACTTGAGTTACAGGAGAATAAATGTTGACTGAACATTAGGAGAAGTAGCTTGAGTGCAGGAGCAGCTGGACAGTGGTCTCAATTATTTAGGGGCAGGGCTGGGGTATTTTCTTTGCTGGAGCATTTCCAGTGGGTCCTGGATAGCCATCTATTGGGAATGTTCTAATGCACTGAGCACGAGCCCCTGGAAGGCATGTGATATTGTGAGCCCAATAAAGGAAGGCCCAATAAAAGATTTCATGTTTCCAAAGATGGGTGTTAAACAAGAGTTTCTCCTTTCCTTCCTCCTTCCTGTCTTGCAATGTTTGATATTTAAAATAAGCACCATTGCTTGCTTTCTGCAATTGCTAGACTGTCCAACTGGCTCCGTCTAGAAAAACATAAAAGCTGGAGAAGGAGAAATGGTCTGTTGTGGATGCATATTTCTTTCCTGCTGAGAACAGTCAATAAAGCAAAGCACCCAGGGTTAAATTTTATGCTCCACCGTGGTCTGTGACATCCCCACATACTGGGATGGAAACTGCCTCTCTCTTTTTCTCTGTACTGTCACCGTAAATAGACAAATTGGCCTTACTGCAGTATGAAGTATTAATGACACAATCAATCTTCCATGGTGCAAAGGCGAGATTTAGTCTGTCCATTCTTCCTTTATCCCCTTCATAGCCAACAGCCATCTTGAAACCACTCTTCATGTAATTAAGGCCTCAGTACCAAAGTAGGGCTGCATCTTCTCTCTGCCTAATATCCATTGCCAATTAAAGCCCTTTGGTGCTTATATAATCACCATTTTATAGTTTCTCTCATGTTAAAAGCTGACAGTTCCTCAGAAGGTCTTGGAAGCTGCATTTTTAAAATCCTAGCTCGCAGATTGTGAGAAAGATTAATTGGGGTTTTATTGTCAGTTGAGTTTTAGGATGCTGTGCTTTATTTTACGTTTTGCATTGTTAAACCATCCTGAGACTTCGGTAACGGACTGTCTAGAAAAGTTTTCAATAAAGAGAGAAGTCTTGCAAAAAGACACCTCTTGTGAGAAACAGAATCTGTGTTCAGACATTCTGGATGGGTACTGAATCAACACTTGGGTTCCATCTGACATCTTGCAGTGGGGAGGAAGAGCCATTGTTATTTGGGGTAGACTGCCCCGAATGCTGAGGTTCTATCTTGGTTCATCACCTCCATGAAGCATTGTAATCCTCTGCTAGCACCATCAACCACATCTTGTGACAGCAAAGTTCATAAACAGGTGATGCATTATGTGAAGGAAAGCTTTCTTGGGTCTGTTCAGGATCGACTGCTTTTGTTCGGTGATGTGGATTCTGGTGCTTGTTCAGGAACACTGGTTCTGTTTTTCTAGTCCCTCTCCTCAGAAGTAGAAGTGAGGAAACTTGGGCTGGGGAACCAAATCCAGTCCTCTGGGGTTCCTCAATACTGAGGTCCCTTTTGGGCTGTCCCCACTTCTCACCAACACAGGTTAATTGTTGGTTTCCCAACTTCTTCTTGAAAGCTCGAAAAAGCTCTCCTAAGGCCTTGTTCCTAGATGTATCTGCTTTAAGCCAAAACAGACTGGTATTTCTGGTGTTTGTCCCACGGCTTTTGGCCCCATCTCTCTTGCCTTTAACTCCATCCAAGACTGAAATATGGCCTGCAAGAGTTTTCCTGCAATGGAATTGGACCCTTGGGCTGAAAGAGGCCTGACCTCTTCTGTAGTCCCAGAGTTGGAAGGCACCTGAAGGATCATCTTGACTCTCCAAATGTGGGGGAATCCATTCATTCTAACCTCCTTGAGAAGGTGGCCCATGTCTCTGTTGGAAAATCTCAAACAAATGGGATTCTGCCACCTACCAAGGACATCTTTTCACCATCAAACAGTTCATGCTGACGTGTTCTTAAAGTTCTTCAAAAGCCCCCTTTCCACAACTTGAAACTGGAAACTTGGGCCTTTGGAGTGACAGAAAGCACATTTTCTCCACCGTCTGTGGGACAATCCTTCAAATATTTACAGAGTACCATCATAACCAGAGAGGTCTGCCTGGCGCCGTCGTTATTTGTTTTTCGGCGCCAGGCGAAGACCTTTTTATTTAAGCGGCATTTTAATTGTTAATATTATTGGATTTTATCTGGCCAGGGCAGCTTATTTTATGTTGGTATTTTTGTATTTTTAACTTAATGTTTATATTTTTTAATTTAATGTTATAATTATTTTTTAACTTATTGTTGTAAGCCGCTCCGAGGCTTCGGCGAATGGGGCGGCATAAAAATGTTTTAATAAAATAAATAAATAAATAACCCTTGCAAGTTAAAGGCAGAAAAAGAAGAAGAAGGAAGACGAAAAAACAGAGAGGTTGACTTCCTAATGGAACAGCTAAGCCAGGATGGCATGGATAAGGAAGCTTTGGAAGGGCCTTCGTATAAGTTAGAGACAAACCACCATAAGTTAGAGACGAATTGATGGCTCACGACAACAACAGCAATATCCGGCTTGCTTTGTCCTAATTCTCTCTCTCCGGCGCACTTCCCCAAAATGCTATCTTGCCCAGCCTTGAGTTGCTGAATGCCAGCCGATAACATGTGATCACTGGCCTGGGGTTTAACCCTGGATAAAAAGCCACAATCAGAAAATAAGCGTGCGGGTGTGAAGCTAGAACAAGGGAAAGCCAGGACAAACAGCTGCTCTGAGATCAGCCAGCAGGGGGCGGGCTTCTGCGCCACACATCTGCCAAGCCGTGACACATTAATTAGCCGCGCAGCCTTGCCAGCGCTGCTGTGATGCGTTGTTATTTATGCACCAGCTGCGTTCTAGTAGCATCACGAGATGTGACTTTGCCCGACGCGAGCATCCGTTTAATATTGGCCCAGCTCTTGGCGAATTATTTTGTTTTTCCTTTAAAGGTGGCAGAGGCGTGTGCATGATGGCTTAGAGATGTCTGCCTCTGTGTTGGACAGTCCAAATCCTCTTTATAGGTTAATTAGCTCAGTTCCCTCCTGGCTTTTGCAGCGATCTTCGTACGGGAGCCATCCTTGAGTTTGGCAAAACGTAGAGGCTGACATCAAACACCCTTTGGCAAGGTGGGGGGAGAGGGGGTGCTATTCAGGATGTGGCAGGCACTTTGGGCTGGGATTTGTTTCTCGTTGCTCCTTGGATGATGGGAAGGGGGTCAGATAGATGAAGCAAATTAAAAGCTCATTGCAAAAAGCAAGTGCTCCGTGCAAGCACATGTGCACATGGGAGAGGTACCTTTATTTGTATTGACATGTTAATTTTAAATGCTTTTTTGGCTTGCCTTGGAGGGTAAAACCCTTCCGTTGCTGTGTCAAAGATTTTAAAAACCAAACCAAATTCGAGGAAAATTCAGTTCAAATCGCCAGTGGACGCTTCGGCCAGGGGCAACAGAAAGGCTAATGAAAACATGCTTTGCCGAGTCTTCCTGGATTGCTGCAAAGAAGCAACCTGAGGAACTTCTAGGGGAAGATGATTCTAGTGGGAAGCCATCCCTGGAAATGGACCCCTTCTTTTCCTCATGGGCCCAAGTGGCCTTGGAGAGAGACAGGTGAGAAGGTATCTTGCTGAGGGCAGGTAGCTTGCTACCGGGACGCCAGAGTGGAAACTGCATGTGTGAAACTGAGTCGGCCAAGTCAAACAAGGGTTTGGGTGTCCAAGGGATAGTGAGGAAGATCAGAGCTGCATTGAAAACCGTGGAGAACAGGAGGTTAAGGGAAAGCACGATTGCGATTTTCAACTGTCTGACGGCTTCCAAGACAGATGAAGCAGGTTTGCTTCTGCGAATCCTATTATAAAAAGGCAGAATCCTATTATAAAAAGTAAGCATTAGGGCGTTAAGAGCTGTTTGGTGGTGGAGCTGCCTCTGGGGAAGGGCTTTTCCCCACCAGAAGCCTCTAACCAGAAGTCTTTCTGTCATCTGTATGATGCAAGTTTCATGCACTGAGAAAACGGGGTGGAACATATGACCTTCCGTTTCCCTTCCAGATTCAACATTCTGTGATTGTATTATTGCGATCAATTTACAAAATAGGGATCTGAGCCTTCAAGGATCTTGGAATGAGTGCATTTGGGAGTGGTACGGTGTTTTACACAGAAGCAAGTTGTCAAAGCAAGAGGGAGCAGCTTTTGGCTGCATCCAGGTGGAAGGCACAGAGGTGTGTTTGAGGAGCTGGGCTAGTTCCTTCCCCCTCTGCCAGCTTAGACATTTTTGCTGCTTCATTCTGCTACATTTATCTGGGTGACTCCATGCAGCAGAATAGCACGGTCAAACCCAGACTGGATGCAAGGAATCCTTCCTCACATGCAAAAACATCTCTTGCTAGAGGTCGAGTCGGTTAACTTCAGGCACTGGGTACGAAGCTTTTGCAGCATCGCCCTTGGCTAGCCCCATGTGCCACTTCAACATGTGGCAAGCTGGTGCGGCTGCATTTTGGTCCCATCCTCGTATGGTTGATGGGAAACAAGGTGCTAGTCCTCAGGTCCTGCCTGATCAGCACCACAGGTGCAAGTCAAAGCACCCAGCTTGGCATGGGTGGAAGACGGGGATTAACACAGACCTCCCTGCTGAGTTTAGGATCCACTGGGCAGCAACAAAAGGCATGGCTTTTCTCTGAGCGGGTATTTGCAGAAGCAGTGGCTGGACTTCTGAAGCTGCAGTGTCGTCTCTCTCTCGAGGGGCCTCCTGCTGATATGCTAGCACGGACAATTTTTCCTGTCATTATAGCACCAGGATAAATGCTGCTTTACGCAACACACTTATATAACTTGCTTTCTCCATAATGTACATCTGTACTGTGTATATATCAACCCATTTGGGTTTCAGCTCTTTGCATTCATCCTTTTCATGTCCAGTGTTATGAGGGCTCAGCTGGACTGTCAAGGACCGGCTGGTTGGGAAGGCATTCACTCCTGGAGATGACCTGGGGGTATGGGACAAAAGCATATTTTGCTGTAGCTCGGGGTACAGCCCCCACCTTCCGAGCCAAAGGTCCCCCGATCAGCCCCCAGCACTTCAGCATGGGTTGAGCAAACGTCCTTTCGAAACCATGGAGAGGTGTTGCCAGGAAGTGTAGGAAATTATGCCCTGCACTGGCCCTGGGTTCTAGTTCTACTCATGGGAGAAGATAACACTTTGCAAACAGCCTGATTGCACCACACACAGAACAGCCCTTTTAGGGCCTTGCATCGGAATGGGGTCAGACTAGATGACCTGTGAGGTACCTCCTAGCTCCTTGATTCTCTCCCTCAGAGACGGGCTGGAGCAGCAGCATCTGAATGCCTGGCACTGCTGGCTGTAATCACCCTCTAAAGCATGCCGCAAAGGGCATCACTTCTCTTGTGCCGGAGAGGAACTCGGCTGTGGCCTTTTTTGATATTGGGAGGATCTCTTCTGCAAATGTTACACAGACATTTGCCGCAGAGGTCACGCTGCTCTTTCGGAGAATTAAAGTGTGCAGACAGAGACTCGGGCCTGCCTCCGAGGGCCTGAGAACAGACAAGAGTGAGCTGCTGAACGGTTTTCCTTTCAGATATTAGTGTTTGTTTCTCTCATGAAAGCCGTATTGCTGGAGGACAGTCGGATGCTCCCAAGCTGTCAAAATGTGCCCAGGCTGCTGACAGCCAGGCAGGGAATTTCATTCAACATCTGCCGAGGCCGATGGGTTGCTGTCAGTTCGCATTCAGACTGGCGCGAGGTTGGATTTTGCAGTGGAGTCTTTGTTGGCAGATCCCGTTCGCACCGAGGTGGCAAGCTTATACCTGGGCTGCACTTTTTCCAGTTGCAGGCAGGTGCTCACTGAACTCTGCTGACAAAAAGAGAATCCCCACGTGTAGAAAACTAGCACATCAGGGAGGAAAAGCTGGCAGCAAAAAGCAGACGTTTGGAAGCATCCACGGTTCATAAGTATTTATTTATTTACATGTATTTATAGGCTGCCTGTAATTGCGGAGGCCTTCCTAGGTGGCTTACAATGCATAAAACAGTAACAGAGTAAAAGCAGATTAAAACCAAACAAAACACAACAAATTAAACATCTAGAAAAGCAATTAAGAAGGGCCACAGCACACAGGCTAAATGTTAAACAGAATCCTAAACAGGTATGTTTTCGCCTGGCACTGAAATAAAAATTAAGCCGGTGCCAGGTGAATTTCCCTATGGAGGGAGTTCCAAATATGGGGAGCAAAGTTCCAAAGATAGGTATTCTCCCTGCCTTCCATCTCCCGGAATCTACTGATGCAGACCCTGTTCATACAGGTGGGAACAGTCGCTAGTTTTGCTGCCTACAAGTTTGTGATGCAAGTTTCTCATGCATCCAAGATCTGCAAAATGGAGACATGGATTAGGAGACATTGGAGCATGTGTCCCTCCAGATGAGGAAATGGGATACTGGGGGTGGGGGGGATTTCACTGACACATGCTTAATATAGAGACTGGCCATGGGGTGCCTTTATCTCTCACAACAGTCTGTTGTTCTCCACACAGAGGGTGCGTTAAGGCAGATACCAGAGCAACGTAAGCTGTGACTCTGAAGGCGAGCTTATTTTCGGTGCTACATATTTCTTTGCTTGTTGGAGCTGCAGCAGTTCATTTCAACATGTTCAAGAAAAGTTGAAGGTCAATATTTACATTTAAATGGAGTTTTGAAGTCGGTCGGTCATCACCCTCTTTTCTTTTTTGGTATAATCAAGAGGAGGCCGAGAAAAGTATTTGTCATCTGCTAAAGGGGAAAAGAGGGATGTGAATTCTGATTGTCAGTGGGACTTTCTGATGCCAGAAAGCTGGAGCCTTTGAAGAGGAAAATATTGGGCATTGCCCATGAGCATTTTGCACATTCACGAGGACTAGAATTCTTATTGGGTTGGTTTTAGACTGTGATCCAGTGACTGTGAAGGGAAAGCACAAATCAACTCGATGGGGTTTACTTCTGCATCAACACGTCTAAGGGCTATGGCTTAGTACATGGAACTTGGGGCTTGTATCTCTTTCTGTTCCCAGTTTTACTGAATTTTGCTTTCAGTTCATTGACGCAAAATTAGCACTGTTGCGACATGGTGTGCTGAGCAGAGCAGCAAGATGTGCACTTCCTACATAAGCTTGGACATCTCTGCACGGCCTGCTGGTGAATTGCCAAGTTCAAGGAGAACTTCATATTCCACCGACTCAGCACCCAGACAGTTGAAGGGTTGGCCTTCGCTGCTGCTCCTGCACACGGTGGGTCACCCCAGCTTTGGACTGCGGTCCTTTCTGTCACCACCAAGATGCTGGAGAAAGGCCATCTTCCTTTGGGGCTATTGGCAAATGTTAGATCTGTTTGTGGCCAAGGTTTTTGCATCGTATTTGCATACGTGCAATTCTGGCCTTGTGATTCTAATGGTGCTCCTGCATTGTGGTGTTTTGTGTAGGTTGGGAGTCTTTCGGGACTGTTTGCAAGAATGTCCAGATATCAATATCTATTTTTGAAAGGCAGAGAAGCAATAGAGGGGAGAAGGGAAGTGATGTGAGTCACTGTTTCCTAATTTTACTCATTTCCCTAATTTTGTTCATTTCCTTGGTGTGGGGAGGTCAAAAGGAATGCCCGATAGTCTCTTGGTTGTTTCTCGTTGTTGCACATTCCCCAGAACAGAAGCCCTGGGGGTGGGTGGGGAGAGTCCATACTATTTCCTAAGATGAAGTACACCCAGGATAAAATGCTGAAAACTCCAGCACTAAAATCAAATAAAAAGACCTGAACAAATGGAAAGGAACTCCAGTTGCTGTGAAGCCTGCAAGCTTTTTCCTTTGTCAAGATGCTGCAGCTGTTGGCATCTCCCATGGGGCAAACCATGTGGCACAGCCAGCCATGGGCCCTGCCTCGAGCCACAACTTCTTGGCCACATGGAAAGCTTCACAGTGCCTTTGCTACATGCTCTTTTCATGGGATGCTTCAGTTCACAGGACAGAGGAGCACGATAAAGTGTCACATGTTTAGCTTGAACTCATTTATTTCCAGTGGCGGATAAAACATCACGAAAGCCACACATGGTCATTACACTTAATGTGCTCTAGTCAACTGAAGCCACCATGACTCAGTCTTAAGTGCAATGTTCCACTTTATTAGACAGAACAGAAGAACATATGAGCATTGCATTTTGGAAACCTGCAAGACGGATGCTTAGAGATCCAAACTCAGCTGAATCTCTTTCAGGTTTCTCCAACATCTCTCCTTGTTTCACAGCTGTAGAGAAATACAGGACCCATCCTTTCAATCCATGGATCCCTGTGCATTGTAGTTTTGGGAGAAAGGTGCTTAGCATTTTTGATTTCAGAATCCTCTGCACCTTCAGCCATGTCTTCTGGGAGAAGCCTTGATGTTTAAACTCTAATTTCCTTCTGTAGTATAGATATGCGCAACTGGTAAATGTCTGACAAGTTGGGTTCCACATTGCACCCCAACCCAAACTTTGCAGCACGTGAAGATCCGAGCATGTAAAAGCATGCTTAGAAAGTTGCTGTAACTTAAAAAAATGACAAATTATCTCACAGGGAGACACCTGAGCTTAATCAACAATCGCACGTTCTGTATGAGGCAGGAAGTGGCCACTGTGGTTTTCTTTGCCTGAAGAAAGGCATAAAGCAACTATAGTGTGAGAACATTTTCTGGGTATGTCGAGTGAAGGACGGCTGGTTCTCCCTACACTTGCGTTGGTGCGTCTGTGTTCCAAGGAGCTTCCTGAACTGCGGTGTGGGGAAAGACTTGAGAAGAATGTTTCTCAGAAAGCGGAGTGTCTCTTTTGGTGGCTATGGCTGGTGAGCTCTCTCTCTTCTTTGCTTTGTGGGGTTAAATATTAGTAAGGGATTCCTCATTCTCTTTTAGAAGGGTCTCCTGACGTCTGCATGCTTTCGCTTGTTCTGTGCTTAAGTTGTGTGTCTGTCATTAGGGGAGATCTGTGTGCTGTTTTCAACTTCAGTTCCCTGTTGCCGAAAAACACAAGCTGGGCACTTTTTGCATGCAAAGTGCGTATTTTATTATCAGAACGTCCTTGATCAGACCAAACCAGAGCTCTCCCTGGAATCTGAAATTACCTAAAACTGTGGCTGTCATATGTTGGACACATCACAAGAAGGTAGGGCTGCCTGGGGAAGACAACCGTGCTGGGGAAAGTCTTAAGGAAGAACAAATAAGAGATGGGTTGAGCTCCATCAAGGGAGCCACAGCCTTGGATTTGGAAGAGCTGAGCAGGGCTGTAAAGGGTTGGGCATTTGGAGGCTTTATGATGTAAGTCATAAAGAACTTGATGGCAAAGAAGAACATGGGTCCTTCCCTTTTGGAGAGGGTACAATGGCATTACAGTTTTACATTCTGATTGCAGACAGACCCCCGTTCTTGTTTTCTGTGGAAGGGCCCTTTCAGAAGGTTTCTTTCCTTTGGAGGTCTGCCAAGATCATGTCTGGGATGCAACCAAAGGGAGGCAGAAATAAGGTTGTCCACAGGCAGCCTCTGGACTAAACCCTGCTGCTTAGAGTTTTCCCCAGGATACTGGGCTGTGTTGTGTTTTATTACACCAGTAATTTCAAAAGGTGTGTAGCCACATTCCCCTTAGCATCGCTATCCTGAATGCAAGTTGCTGTCACCATGTTTGGGGAGGAGGGGCTGATGGATTCCCCTTTCTTCAGTAATCGGTCAGGCTCTCCTGTAACTGCAACCGGAATAATGTCAGGAACAAGAACAATTCTGCTACCCAAAGCTGTGGGAACTTTCCTTGCAGGGCTGCAGCTCAGACCTGTGAATCAGTCACTTAGCTGTGAAGGCACTTGGGTTTGACTGCTGAGTTGACACGTCCAGGCACAGGAAGTTCTGCCTTTGGGTGTGTTTGCTAGAAAGGAAGAGGTTGCTGGCGAACCTCTTATCATGGTCATTGCGTCATATGCGTCTTTATCTGAGAGGGGCAGCCAAGCTGTACCAGAACCACACCCTTTCAGTGGGGAATTTATTATTATTATTATAACATTTCTATGCCGCCCCTTGCTGAAACCTCGGGGCGGCTTACAACATGATAAAATACATTGAAATACAATAGTACATAATAAATTACCATTAAATACAAAAATACAAAAAATACATTGATTTACAAATATAAAATTAAAATTATCAGTATAAAATAAAAATATAGGAGGAGAAAGAGAAGGAAGAAGAAGTTGCCCTGGCCAGATCATATGTTTTAACAATTGAAATGATGTTTACATAAAAAGGTCTTTACCTGGCGCCGAAAAACCAGTAACGACGGTGCCAGGCGGACCTCTTTGGGCAGTGAATTCCATAGGTTGGGCGCCACCGCAGAGAAAGCCCTCCTCCGGGTACTTACTCTCCTAATTTCTTTCATGGAGGGTTCCCGGAGAAGGGACTCTCCCGCAGATCTCAAAGGGCGGTCGGGCATATACGGACGTAAGCGCTCGTTCAGGTAGCCAGGACCCAAGACGTTTAGGGCTTTATAGGTCATAATCAACACCTTGAATTGGGCCCGGGCTTCAATGGGAAGCCAGTGAAGCTGACGGAGGACTGGAGTCATGTGAGCATAACGCCCCGTCCCCGTCAGCAACCTGGCAGCTCTGTTTTGCACCAATTGAAGTGTTCGGACTGTCTTCAGGGGAAGCCCCACGTAAAGCGCGTTACAGAAGTCTAGGCGGGAAGTCACCAGCGCGTGTGTCACCGTCGCCAGGCGGTGGTCAATGAGGTCAATTTGGTCAAAGAGGTGCCCTCACCATTGATTTCTTTGCAAGATTGAAAAGGCCTGTACTAGGGGTGTTGAACCTCGGGGCCATGGACACATTCAGCTCACGGGCTTTCGTCTGAGGCTCATGGTTGAGGAGTTCTTGAAGTGCCTCAGGGGGCCTTTTCCAGACTTGGTCACGGAGTGTTCCTCAGCTTTGGTGCAGCTTTTTCCCATTCGGAGAGGATGGATTGTCTTTCCTGTGGCTTAGTTGCTTTTGGGAAATACAGGATGTAGCTCCCGAAGCCTTCTCCAAGACTGAATTCAACACAGGTGAAAGATGTTCAGAGCCGCCTTCTGTTTTTGGCTGTGGGTCTTTCCTTCCCCTCACTCCAGAAAGTCATACATATTTCTTTGTGCTCATTATTCCTTTGTACTCATTATTATTTTGTGCTCATTTTTCCTTGAAAAGACTCCTTTTTGAAAAGGCAAGTTTGTGCAGTGGCTAGGAGACTGGGCTTGGATAGGATTCAAATGGCCAGTGGCCATGCTGAATGGGAACTGTAGTCCAGTGCATCCAGAGGCTGACATAGACTTTGCTGCAGGGGTCAGCCAGGAAACTGAGAAGGAGGGCATGGAATCAATACCTCCTGCTCTGCCGTTGTTCCCAGCAACTGCTTTTCTGAGGTATACTGCACCTGACTATGGAGGTTCTATTCCAGTCATGGTTAGAACTGAAACCTGCAAGATCAAACCAAAGGTCCCCCTGGCTTAGCCTCCAGTTCTGCCAACCAGATGCAGCTGGGTTCGATTTGGGTTGAGGATTTGAAAGCGAAAGCAAATTTTGAGGTCAATTTGGAGTTTTCTCCCAAACTTCTGTGGAGTTTCAAGGGAATAAAAAATAAACTTTGAGATGAACAGGAAGAAAAGTTGCAAAAGATGTGGCTTTATTAGTTATTTCAGGGGTCCATATTTCCTTCACATTGGTGTTGACCTGCATCCTTTTTGGGCCGAGCTATTTGGATGCTCCAGGAAGGTGCTTCAGCGAAGTAAAAGCAGCACTCTCCCAGGACTGAGCGTTCAGTGACATTGTGATTGTTGGATGAACTGGGATATGTTTTATACACACTGGTCTGGAGCATTCACCAAGCTTCTTCTGCCATTATTCCTGAACAAGTATAAAAATCCTAGAACAGCAGAGCTGGAAGGCCCCTCTAAGGCCATCAGGTCCAGCCCCCTGCTCAGTGGAAGACTTCCGCGGGCTATCCGACAGCCTCTTCAATGTCTCCAATGTGGAACAGCCACAACTCCCCTAGGGAATTGGTTCCACTGCTGTCCTGCACTAACAGCCAGGAAGTTCCTC